AAGGTCAAAGGGTGAAAGTTCTTGGTATCCAATGAAAGGTCCTTTCACAAGGATACCATATGTGAAGAACGAAAGCCCTGGCCCTTATCGTTCAAAAGTTATAGTTAATTAAAAGTTTTTTCATAAGTATGTAAATCTCCAAGGTCAAGGTCAAAAAGTCAAAGCTGTTGGTATCCAATGAAAGGTCTTGCCACAAAAAATATATATGTGATATATGAAAGTCCTAGTACCTATTATTCAAAAGATATTGCCAAAGTAAAAGTAAAAGAGCATTATATGGTAAGTGTCTCAATTGGCCCCTTAAAATGGATATCTTTATTTTACTTTAAAGATAGCTTTCATATGTACAGCTATATATGCGACCTTTATTGATCATTTTCATTTTGATCAACATGCCGTTATTTTAGAAATATGCCATCATAAAAATCACTTTTTTCCGCCATTTTAGCATATTTTGTATAAAACTGCTTATTTTCGAGCAGTTTTTCTTCCAGAGAATATAGAGCGCAGCCTAGAACATGCTTTATATTTTTACTAAAGATGTATCTATTCAATACTAATCAGTGACAGAAAAATTATGTATGTTCTACACTGCGCTCTATGTTTCCCATAAGAAAAAAACATCAAGAAATAGGCATATTTTTGGCTTTTTTGTTAGATAGCAAAAATAGCATTATTTCTCATGTCATTTACAGCTAGCGAGTGCATATAAATGTGAAAAATATATTGGAAATATTCTTAATATAATCTCTTCTACAAAATAAATATCAATTAAACATATCTGAATGTCAATCTAAAATGTTGATTTTTAGGGGGCCTAAATTGGCTCTTATCATATATATACTCCTTTGGTGGTACTCTAAGAAAGGTCTTGTCACAAAGAATACACATGTGAAATATGAAAGTCAGAGCTCTACTAAATAAAGAGTTATGGGCAAGGTTAAAGTTTTTGTGACAGACAGACTGACGGACAGCTAGACGGACGGACGGACGGACAGACGAATGAGATTTAATGTCCCCTCGCTTTCGCGAAAGCTGGGGACAAAACACTTACTTAACAAAACACAAAAAACTGATCAAAGTGTAAAGCCAAGGTGTTAGATTTCATATCCTGGCGTTACCAGTCTAGATGAACTTCAAAAACGGCGTGAACTCCAAAAAAGAAGTCTTTGGCTCCGTCATGCATTGCGGCAAAATGGAGTCCGATGTAAACAAACGATGGATTGTCGTTCGCTTTCTCCAAAAATACGAACTGTATATAGTAAACTGTTACTGGATTTTAATTTTTGTTGAATAAATAATTGCACTTATTAAATTATTTAATGGTTATTGACTTATTTATCGCTCCGTATACATGCATAATAGTGATCTGGGATATACGACATCGGATTCAATAAAGTCGGTAAGAATTAATTTCTTAGACTTAACTTAATTTTTTGTCCCCTTGATGTAAATTTTATGCCATTCCTACTATAAAGATGCTTAAATTTTACTCCCAAGACACTTAGATCGTATTTATTTTATAAAAAAAAAAAAAAAAAAAAACCCACAATTTTCGCGGCGGAGCAGAGAAACTAGTTAACAGGTTCGATTTGAGAAGACTTTTTTACCGTAATTTTAAAAGAATGATTTTTTAAAGTTCTTAAACTGTTAGATTATAATACTATAAATGTTTTCAGGATAATGTCTGTTCATATGTGATAACAATTAGGTTAATAGCGATGGTGATAACTTACGCTCTCAATTCAGATGACTTACAGGATTATATGACGAAATAATATTATGAATGGGTAAAATTCGGTCAATGTTTAACAGTTACAACATATAGTATTCAATTTTACATAATTTTCCCTTTTATCATGCATATATATTAAATTCCCAAACGTTTAATTTTCTTTGTAATTGATCTAACGTGGAACGTGAACTTTTTGCAAATAAAATCTAACAAATACGATCTCTTCAGCAACAAAGGAAATGTGGAAACTGAATGGATTCTCATGTAACTGTCATTCTCATGTAACTGTCACCTGATCGACTCTTATTTATTATTAAAACCATCAATTCAGTACTTTTTTAATTATTGGTAAGATGTATTTGAAAGATAGAAGAAATTCGAACAACTGAAAATTCGCCAGCGTCCTTTACTTACAAACAACCTCTAAAATCATTAAAAGTAGTTCTAAAATGACTTACTTAGTCACTGCAAACAAATTTTCAATCACAGAGATGTTTTCATAAGATTATGAGTGTTTGATTTGTATTTTATATCCTACTTGTACGAGGTTTGGCTGAAGCTCGAAGTTGGTCAACTTTAACTTGAAATTAAAAACTATTTGCACATGAAATCAAAATTCTAACAAATACGTTCGTTGAAAACATTTATTATTAATCATTTCTGAGAACTTACATTATTGCAAGGTAATCCAATTTTTTGCAAAAGCACTTTTTATAAGAGCCCGCTTTTCACGATTTTTCACCGTTTTTTGATATAACTGTGCATGCGTGGACTCGTTTTTTGGAGTCTTTTCTGGACTGAAATTCTCACTTCCGTTAACGCCGTTTTTGGAGTTCGTCTAGACTGGTTACCGGTTTTCGATAGTATAAAACTTGAGTCAAAAATTTAATCTAGGCATCTGTGTTTTTCTCACCTAAATTATTTATGCATTATTTGTCAACAATACATAATATATATATTCAGACATTTATTTGATTTTGAAATCAAGATTCGTAGTACTGTTTCAACTTTCTTTGGAACCGCCATAATCCGAGTTGTTTTGAATGACGTCACCTATTTTCGATAGCAAGTATGGTGCACAGTTATTGTCATAAAAACATCAAATTATGTTATTTTGTGTGGGTTTTTGTTTTCTTTTATTTGTTTTTTTATCATTTTTCATGGTATTGGATTTTTTTGTCCTGTTTTCAACTATAATCTTAACAACAAATAAATTATAATTAATTTTTACATTAATTTTTTTTTTATTTTTTAGTTGAAATTTTATAAAATTGAAATTTCAAGCAAGGAGCCATTATCTGCTTCGAAAGCATTATCAACAGCCTTTGATCTATAAAAATTCTTGTAATTTCCCATTTTGATGGAAATATCTACAAAGAAACGAACAATAAATCAACAGAAACAAAACATTAAAAATTAAAAGATGTCGAAATTTGAAATGAAATACCCTAACAGGCTTCCATACTTTATTTTTTAAGCGGAAGTTTGTCCAAAGTGAGGCTTTTCTATTTTTAGGCCATAACACAGAGCTTTTTAACAGACGATAGCATTAAAATTCAGGCTTAGGAGATAGGGTTTTAGAGTGAATTTTTTGACATTATGAGAAAAGGGTTGACTTGAATAGATAAAAAGAAAAAGAAAACCTTACCTCTCTAAATGGCATAATTTTCTATCTTTTTGGCCGTATTACACTTTTAACATCTGATAATAATTTTGGGATAAGAGTTCAAAAAAATTACAAAAGGTTTACTGATTTATTGTGAAAAAAATTAGCACTTAGGATTTAACATCTGATAATATAATTTATCATTTTGCCATCGGTACAATTTGACCAGTTTATACTACAGGGTGTTTCATAATATATGCTACATTTTGAATCTTCAGTTTGACAAACACACACACACACACACACACACAGTGTGCGTGTGTGGCTCCCCCATACTGGGGACCTGCTACAGATACGCAAGTCGTAAAATGGGGACATAAAAAACATTGGGGACTTGATTTAAGTCCCCAAACTTTTTTTTCGTTGAAAACGAAAAATTGACATATCTAAATCCTAAAAATATCAAAAAAATAACGTGTCCCAGTTACGGGGTTTTATCGGACACATGATTACACAGATATCGTGTTGATTGAAGTTGCCATCTTCACTTACACATCTCTGACGTTACACACTTCTAGATTACGCATGCGCGTGTGTAAAAAAAAGCGGAAGTCCAATTGTTTTGAAGCGGGATACAATAAACATGTGGAAAAGAAGACACAGAGGAAAACCTGGGCACAGAATCCTAGATTCTTTTGATAAGGATGATTTTTATGCTGGAAAACGGTATGTTATCTACTTCTTAGATAAAATATGGTGCGAGGAAACTTGCATCAAAGTATTGAAGGGGGGAGGGGGATTGTGGCATAGGCCTATCGGGTACTCAGTTGAAATGAAAAGACAGTTATTTATGTGATTTTCTTTCTTGAAATAGTACACAATTTATGCTATTCATTTCACAATGATTTAAAATTCATCAAATGTGAGGTATATTAATCGAATGTGTTTTGTATTTCATCAGCTGTTCATGTCAACATGAAATGACCTTTACTAAGTTTTAACTGAACTAAATCCAGTCCACTTTAATTTGGGAAAATGGAAATGTAGTTTGTATGTGTGAGTTTTTTTGAGCCAATAGTGAGATCGGATTGTAACCCCCCCCCCCCCCTTTCTTCTTGAGATCTGCAACTTTTTGTTTTTAAAGCCAAACCTAAGATCGGGTTGTACCAAACACCTCAACAACCACCTCCTTCTTCTTGTCGAGCTCAGCAACCTATTTCTGGTGTTGTTTTCTTTTAATTTTTTAAAGCAATAAGTGAGATCGGATTGTACCCCCCCCCCACCTTTTACTTGAGAGAGAACATACAGTGTAGTTATCATATTCATCATATATTTCACTTGTCCTATAATATATAAGCATTACTTAATACAATAATAGCCTATCTCAATTTTACTCAAAATGCACTTATTATCTACTGCTAAAGAGCAAGTAATTGAATATCAAACATATATTAATTGTTTACATGTTGTTTATATTAAAGAAACTTGGACTGAAGCATCTTTTAATTTAAAAAGCTACCACATTACTTATATGACAGTATAATTCATTAAGTGACAATTATATTTTCCACATTTTTTCTTAATTATTATCATTTTACAGCATTCTTTTTTTTTTTTTAAATCACATTTGATGTCTCTAAGGGCCTGTACGTGTTATGGGCATTGGAATAAAAATGCTCAGAAAGAAAATATGGATAAAAATGTACGTCTTGAACAAAATTTATTAATGAATTTTTTTTTTCAATTATATAATTATTATCCTTAAACATGTTAAATGATATAGAATTAAACTAGAATATAAAAATCATGCAAACTTGTGTTTATTAGATTTTTTTAATCAGGTCATTATATCCTAAAGCAGGACATTATACCCCTGTCGTTTTTATTATGTCCAATAAAAAGTTTATATATTTCATTGTGCATTTTGCCACGATTCTCAATGAAGATAACAATATTTTAAATTATTATTTCCAATAAAAATGATATTGTGTATGCACCAAAATTGACAAAAAACTATTTATTATAATCAGTCAGGACATTGTACTATAAGGGCATTATACACTTCCGGTGTAAACAGCTTACTCAGGAACTGAGGAAGCAGGTAAGGCATGGTTTGGACTGAAAAAAAAAACAACGTCCTTGTTTGATTCCTTGAAACGATTCATTGTGTAATTATGTTCTGGAGACTTGAAGTCTGTACAAAGACACACTACATCAAAGTAGTTTCATGTCGACCGCTTTATACCTGTTAGACAGATCATATGGATAAGCCTTTCCGAATTCCCTCGGTTTAATTCTCATTTCACTGTTAGTGTGTTTGTTTATATACAAACAGCTTTTAAATTGAATTTTTAAGAGTTAATTATAATTGTATATCATATGATATAATCTTTTTTAAAGCAGAGTGCATCATGTATTTAATTTTTGTATCCTTTCTATCAGAAAAGTCATAGGCTATAGTATAATAAGAATCATTTGACTTGTTAAATGTATTGTGGTATATTAAGTTTATTTATGTATTCTTAAATTATTTCATTTCGATCCCGATGTAAATTATCTTGCTTATATTTGGAAACACCCACTTTTATGCGACTATCAGATCGGGGAGGAAGATGACTGGCTTTATTCTCTATAGCTACACTCTTCACATACTAGAATCATCTTTTTGTCCATCTGTTTATATTGCTTTTATAGTTCATATTTGGGTTAGACTATATTTTGGTTGGGGGTAAATTATGTACATCGTACGTACATTATAGCAGTTTTCTGTAAGACTGTTATAAATTTGTAAAGTCGGAATGCCAATATTGACCTCATAGAACAACACCTACATGTAGTATCGCGAGTACCTCACAGATATAAATTCTTACTACCGCTCTTTGCAAGGGAAGGCTCTAAATCTCACAATTTAGATTTCTGGCATACGTATAACAATTTTTACACTAGTGACAATCGAATGATTCAAACAATTTTGATTGTATGATATCCAATATTTTAGAAATCACAAAATTTTATACAAATATTAACATTACATTTGGCGTTAGGGCTGAAACGATACACCCCCTCCACGATACAATACGTATTGCAATACTTGTGTCACAATCATTTATCTAATTCTTAAAAACTGGGCAGGGATGTTGATTATTCACGATCTTGTGTTGTTGTCGTTGTCAAATCCGTGCTTGAAATCTACGATACGTATTGCAATACTTGTGTCACAAATCAATTTTTTCAATACAATACATTTAGAAAAAGAAACAGATCATTAAGTTAAAGAAAACATGTATTTAGATTCCAAAAGATACATATAAGGTAACGATACAAAAAGAAAACACTTTTTGTGCTTCTGTCGATTAAAAAAGCGCATTGTCTGTGTCAATTCTAGCAGCAGCAACCTGCACAAAAACTTTTTCTGTCTTAATTTTCTCTCTCTTGAGTGTCAAATAAACTGACAAAATGAGGACAAAGACAGTCAATTGAAGGGTTAGCTAACCTGAATATAAAAAAATGTATTGAATTGAAAATTGAGGTAGTGAATTGAATATTGAATTGAGGAATTATAATGAACAATATCGATATTTCGATGAATTGTTTCAGCCCTATTTGGCTTGCAATCTTTTTAGCACTTTGGGGGGAAAGAAACTTCCGCTAAGTCAAGTACAGTATGCTAAATGTCTTGCACATATGTTAATAATTAAGAACTTTATGAAATGCACTAAATCAAATCTATACGCTAACTTGCTCAAAAGTCAAATATTATATTTTTATTACACACTTAGTAATAAATACAGGTTTTTTGCATATGCAATATGGCTGACGTCACAATAGCCGTATCAGCCCTGCAGGGCTGATACGGTTATTGTGACGTCAATATCACACCCTTAATAAATTAAACCACAAAAACAGTACTTGTGATCATACACAATTTTTGGTGGGTTCATATTCTTGTAATTTTAACTTTTTGAAAATAAATTTAATCTTAATTTACAAATACATGTAATAATTATAGATTATTTTCAAATTACGGATCGAGTGCATTGAAATAGAAGTAGAAACAAACAAAATTGTATGAGACAATAGACCATGTACATGTAGTATGTTAGTTTACTGAGGCCAAAGGCGATTCAAAAGTCAGCCAATTAATTCATTGTTATTAAATGTTATTGAATTTCCAAATGTTTGACACGTTTGTTCTTGTCTCCAACAAATGTATACACTCATGATTTAAAGCATAGTGTAATAACACATTATGATTTGCATGATTAGTGTTAGCAAATCGGATGATTTTTATTAAGTGGTTACTCGCTTCATCTTCCAATCGAGTACCCGGTTACTCAGATGATTTTTGGTAAAAGCATCAATATCTATTATTTATCTTTTTCTATTCTTATCGGTATAGTAATCTGCAAATATACTGTATATGGACATTATTTTTACAATACACACATACGATATCATCAAAGATTTACTGTTTTAAAATAAAGAAAATAAGGAAGTCGACACACCGAGAAGACAAATAAATATATCATTGTCAATCACCATTTTACACTTTCCTTTTCAGCCCCCGAAATATGTCGCAATCAAGGAGAATAATTATTTACATACTCCATAATTAATAGTCAGTATGTAGAGTTTCCAGTAAATCGCTGGTTTCCGAATATTTTAAGATTAGGTGATTTAACAGATTTTGAATCAGCTGTTCTTCTGGTAAACTTCAAGCTTATTATGTCTGCGACGGCATCTCGTTAAATTATCAAATGAGGTAATTATAGCTCAGGTCTTCAAAAGATATATACCCCAAGCAATCAAAGCTATCAATTATATAAACTGTGAAAACTAATCAAAACAGTTTGATCCACTACAACCATGCACTAGATCAAGTCTAATGGTATCTAAAATTAGCGAAATGTGTAAGTTAGTATACCGGTACATTTATAAATTATTAAACATTTATTTCTATGCCTTTACTATGGAGAATTCATTTTATCCGAGTAACTGAATAGCAGTTTTACTAACTGATACTCACATCGTTCGACAGTTAGTCAGGTACTCGTTGCCAACACTAATTATGATCGTAATTTATCAGCTTTATCAAATGTTTAAAAGTGGAAAAAATATTATTAAACAATAGATACTCAACTACTTACTAAGAAAGTAGTTTAGTGCATTGGTATCTAGCATGGTAACATTTACAATGACACATGTTTTAAAACGCCCTATTTGATTGGTCAAAAAATGTTAGCAAATATATGGTTGGTCAACGTGGTCAAGAGGGAAAACCCCAAAACCTCCTGGAACTTTAATTTGAAGTGAACTCACTCTGAGGTACACCCAAAAATGCCCAAGGAAAAGGTGTCTAGTCCAACCAGAGAGCACCTTAATCCCTGATCATTTAATTTCTATGCTTATTGTATAGAAATGGGAACTCAATAGTATTACAAACTTTTACTTTGAGAATAATATTGATAAATTTCTGTATAAAAATGCTTTTACAACATTAGCTGCAGATCTGTAGCTATCCGAAAAAATATATATTGATAGACTGGATAGCTACAGTGCCACCCATTGAAAAAACTGTATATTTATTGCGCACAAAAAAGTGCGCTCGGTTTTTAGCTCTACTGGTCAGAGACCAGAAGAGCTTGCGATAGTAAGGTGTCCGTCGTCCGTCCGTCTGTCTGTGTCTGTCTGTCCGTCTGTCTGTAAACAATTTTTCAAAACGCTACTCCTCCTACAGTTTTGGTCTGATTTCAATATTACTTGGCACACACGTAGACTACACTAAGATACATAAAATAGTGCATCGGTTTTTGATTTAGATGAACGGTGTTGCCATGGTTACTAAAAATAGAATTTTCTTTGAAATTCCTTTAAAACGCTACTCCTCCTACAGTTTTGATTTGATTTCAATATTACTTGGCACACAAGTAGACTACACTAAGATACATAAAATAGTGCATCGGTTTTTGATTTCGATGAACGGTGTTGCCATGGTTACTAAAAATAGATTTTTTTGTGAAATTCCTTAAAAATGCTACTCCTTCTACAGTTTTGGTCTGATTTCAATATTACGTAACACACAAGTAGACTACATTAAGATACATAAAATAGTGCATCGGTTTTTGATTTCGATGAACGGTGTTGCCATGGTTACTAAAAATAAAATTTTCTTTGAAATTCCTTTAAAACGCTACTCCTCCTACAGTTTTTGTCTGATTTCAATATTACTTGGCACACAAGTAGACTACACTAAGATACATTAAATAGTGCATTTGTTTTTGATTTCATTGAACGGTGTTGCCATGGTTACTAAAAATAGAATTTTCTTTAAAATTTCTTTAAAACGCTACTCCTCCTACAGTTTTGATTTGATTTCAATATTACTTGGCACACAAGTAGACTTCACTAAGATACATAAAATAGTGCATTGGATTTTAATTTCGTTGAACGATGTTGCCATGGTTACTCAAAATTGAATTTTCTTTGAAATTCCTTTAACACGCTAGTCATCCTACAGTTTTGGTCTGATGGCAAGGGCTTCTTTTCTCATCCTTTGTTATAAATGCAAACCAGTAGAGCTACAGTCTCGACAGAGACTTCTGGTTATTATTTCTTCCTAATTCTTACCTCAATTGCAAAAGAGGGAAGATTTTAAAAAGTTTCTGTTTCCTTTATCAATTACATTCGCAGTTGACATCTGAACGAAGCGTATTGGACCGAATTATCTTTGAAACCAAAATGGCAGTATAAATAATCGAAATGTTCGATGATTACACTATCAGGGTCAGGAGGACTATTAAAAATAATTATGACGAATGTTTCGTTGTGGAAAGAGTCAAAGAATATGTAAGGAACACACGGTTAGTAATATTATGAGATTTCAGTTTTAGGAACATGGAGAAATAAATCGAAAACCGAGCGCACTTTTTTGTGCGCAATAAATATACAGTTTTTGAAATGGGTGGCACTGTAGCTATCCGGTCTATCAATATATATTTTTTCGGATAGCTACAGATCTGCAGCTATTACAACATGTATTAAAGATTTGTTCCTACTTTTAAAAAAAAAAATTCCAATACATTCTGAATTAAATTTATGATTTTTTTTGTTAGAATGTTCAAGGCAACCAGAAGCTTGAGTCCATCCTGAACATAGAGACAACACAGATATTAGCAAAGCTGTAAATATTGCTAGAGGATTAGTTAATGCAACTCAGCAAGGACTAGTGATGGATATGTTCCAGGTTCCACAGCTAGGAGAATGTCAGGAAGAAAAGCCTCATCATTAAAAGTGTTACAGGTGAATTATTTAGGAATTTAAGAAATAAATAGGATAGATAAATATATACTAGGGAATTAATTTTTTGTTGGTTCATGATCACATCTATTGAGAAGCCAAAGGCAAAAGTATTGCATGCAGTAAATATTGTTTGGATGTAATCACACTTATATCATTGTATACAAATAACCTTTATCCGTATTTAGGCCATATAAAATTGAAATCTTGGTTCTCAGGCCCGCGCGCATCCGTTTTGAGGTAGCCACATTGCCGATTTTATTGTATTTTTGATAAAATAAAAAGTTGGTGTTGCGGAGACCAATCCGGGAAAAAAATTCCAACCTCATTTGTTTCGTAGTTTAGTATTCAAATATCACTTCCGGTAGCCATTTACAATGAGATTTTGGCTACTTTGTTTGAAAATACATTCGAGGAAATTACCTACAATGTTTACACGCTGATAAGCAATTGATAAAGCAGAAATTTTGACCAGAAATGGAAAGTATATCTGTGATTAAAAAAATTATCTTTATGTTAAAGAAAATTCGGAAATTAAAATTTAAAAAATACCTCCCTCATCTACTTTATTGCCTATAAAATGAAAAATAAAATGCCGCCCTCCCGCATCTGTTTTGGAGAAAATTGGCCTGAGAACCAGGGAATTAAATTTAGATAGCCTTATAAATATTTTGAATTTATGTCAGATAATATAAATCTAAATTCATTCCTGTGTCAAATTATATTTTCGTTTCAATGTCTTTGTTCAAGAGACAATTACAAATAGTCAAATGAATGCACTTTATTTCTCCATTAATATACTTGTTCATTGCTAAAAAAAAATCATGTGCAGGGCTGAACAAATATAGAGTCAAGAAGCAGAGCTTGTAGCACGTTTATTGGCGGAATCAATTCTATGTAATATAAAGAATAACTGTCATTTTCAATTTCATGACAATGATCAATCGATTGGCTTGCATAATAACTTTATGCATAAATGCCTTCTGCGTTTATGCAAATTATCACGCCAACCAATTGATTCTTTTCAAGAACCACAGGGCCAGGAAAGATGAAACTCATGTGAAATCATCCTCAGGTAGTTTCGATTCAAGTTTGTTTAAATCATGACCCTGGGGATAGGGTGGGGCCAAAATGGCTGATCAAAGTTTTACATAGGACTAGATAGGGAAATCTTTTAAAATTGTCTTCTCAAGTACTTCAAAGCCATGATTAGTGATATTTATGTTGAAACATCCTCAGGTAGTGTAGAATTAAATTTGTTCAAACCATTATAACGCCTAAGGGTAGGGTGGGGCCACATTGGTGAATCAAAGTTTACATAGAAAAATAAAGGGAGAAATCCCAAGAACAGAAAAGCTATGTTTAGTCATATTGACATGTAAGCATCCTCAGGTATTTAGGATTTAAATTTATTCAAATTATGGCCCTTTGGGGCAAGAAGGGAAACAATGGGGAATCAAATTCAAATTATTATGAAGTTATATATAGGAAGAAAATGTTTTTAAAAATCTTTTTATCAAGAACAGTAAAGTCATATGCTGTGTTTATATGAAGGCATTGTAAAGTAGGATTAATTCAAGCCCCCCCCCCCCCCCCTTTTCAGTAAACTTTTCCTGATCTGATTTGTGCTTTTTCCTAGCTGATTTTCTCAGTTGAGCGATGTGGCCCCTGGACCTCTTGTTTGAAATTACTGGGATCAAAGCTGTTGATTATTGCTCAAAAGTTTATCATATACATACACATTTTATTCTGGTTGAAATGTTTGTAATTTTACAATTAAGTTCCAATTTTTTCAGAGGCACTAAAGGAAACTGATGGCATTGTTTTTGTGTGGGTGATGAGAATAAGAGTGAGGAGGAGATAGATGATAGTCAAGACAATCAGGATGTCCACACTGTCACTCCAGGTACTGTATACACACTGCATTACCCATTTTAAGCAATAAGTTTCTTAACTTGAAATTATATGCAGAAACCCAGCATGGCCAGCCAGTCTACATGCATGGAAAATTTTCTTAAGACTTGATATTGAGTATTACTAGTAGAGCTTTAGTCTAAAATGCAAACAGGTTGTTCTATTCAAGGATAGGCCAAGAGTATAGTTTAGTCAGTATAGTTCACCAAGTTATTTGCATTAATTGAACTATACCAGACAGCAAGTCATAATGCATTTTTTATGTCTTTTCAAAACTTTTCCTGATCTGAATTTCAGAGTTAAATTCCTAATCAACAAAATATTTTACTAACATGTGAATTTTTATAGCAAAGCTTTCATGTACAGTTATATGTCAAATTCATTAATTGAGATAGAGGAGTTTCTTAACTTAAATTATATGCAGAAACCCAGCAATTGTTTATCAATATAAATTCCAGCCAGTCTACATGCATGGAAAATTTTCTTAAGACTTGATATTGAGTATTACTAGTAGAGCTTTAGTCTAAAATGCAAACAGGTTGTTCTATTCAAGGATAGGCCAGAGTATAGTTCAGACACAAGTTATTTGCATTAATTGAACTATACCAATTTCAGAGTCATAACATTTCACAAATATGTCTTCTGAATGGAGATGGAGGAGTTAGCTGAGATTAAATTCCTAATCAACAAAATATTTTACTGGATGTGAATTTATATAGCAAAGCTTTCAAGTACACAGACCATTCAAATAAAGAAAGTACCTATGTTTCACAAATATACTAGTAAACAATCATTCTCCTGCCAGATTATATTTTAGTTGAAAAAAATTGCTTTAACTCTTAAAGCTATTCTTAGTATTATTATTTTTTTGTACAGACCGTACCACCAACCAAGGAAAATTATATTTTGAAAATATCATTTTAGGGAAGAAGAAGTCATTTCTGATCCTAGATCTACTGTGGAAGATTCTACATGCAAGTGACAAGAGATACAAAAAAATCCCAAGGACATCATGAGAAATGAATTTAATCAACAGACATTGTGGAAAAGATTTTCTAAAAAATTGTAATAGGACCTTAGAGAAGTGTAAAACACCAAGGATATACATTTGTAATCTTGTTAAAAACAGAGAAAATCTTGATTAACATTCTACTTTCAATTTATATACTTTGAGAAATATGAAAAAAACTGTTTTAGAGCCACAGTAATGGAGGACATTGAATTCTTTGCAGCAGTTTTATCATTAGGCCATTCCATTTTTTTTCTGTGTTTAGTGACTGCAGATGGATTGGTTTTGAGATCATGCAAATTAAGAACAAACACAAAATAAAATTGACAAATACAAATCTTTGACAAGCAATTTACTCTTCTGGGATCAGCATCTCTCTTTTTTTAAAAGTGATGTGCCTAAGTTTTTTTTTTTTGTTTCATTAAACTAGTAGTAGTAGTTTAATTTAGTTATAATACGAGGAAAATTCTTAAATGATGCTAAAGGAGTTCTAGAACTTTGCGTAAAATGTTGTTTTTTCCCCTTTTGGTTTGTGATTTTTCTTTTGGAACGAAGAAATGTTTGAAATAAAGGTTGGATGGGAAACAAAGAAAAAACTTGGAATGGCCTCATATAACCTACATGGACTAAACTTGCATAGATGAAGAGTGCTTAAGAAGCTGTGCATGATGTATGTAGAAAATGATTTTGAAGTATTAAATATTCTATGCAAAAGGAAATTTTCTCAATTTAGTTAATTTTTGCAAAAAAATGATTAAGCATCACATACATAACCTTTCTGAAAGTGAAAAAAATATTCATCCTAATTAAGTTTGATCAAGTCTTCAGTTCAAGTTATATGCAAAAATACATATTTCATTCTTTATAAACACTATGATATCCCTGTACTTTTCTTATGTGAATTGAATGTAAAGAGTTGGGTTTGATGCATAAATAGTCCTGTTCTTATACTAGTTCTTTGAAAATCACCCCCTGTCCCATTCTAACATCAAAATAAAGGATGGAGATTTCTCATTTCCTTTAACAAAGATTTTTCATAGAGTCCTGAGATTGGAAGTTAAACAAGATTGCAAAGTTCTTGAAATATTAAAAATGCAAAAAAAAGGAATTTTCAGGATATGAGAGAATTCAAATGGGACCTTGAGACTTGGTCAGTTAATTGGTATATATATTGAGGGCCATTTTATGGATAAAGTGAACCTAGCTCTTTTCACCATTTCAATAGATTACATTGTCACCAAGTATCAAAATGATAGACTGATGCATTGGTTACCAAAACTGAGTACTTTTGATTTTTCACAATTCACAGGGCCAAAAAAGCTTTCAGTGAACCTTGCTCTTTATTACATTTATGTCTGTAAACTTTTACCATATGCAAACATCCTTTGTCTCTAGAAATGCCTTTATCTTCTGTAAGTCCCCAAACTTTTAACATGTGTATTAGGTCCTCAGTCTCTATAAATACCTGTATCATGTGTAAGTCCCCAAACTTTTAACATGTGTATAAGGTCCTCAGTCTCTATAAATACCTGTATCATGTGTAAGTCCCTAAACTTTTAACATGTGTATGAGGTCCTCAGTCTCTATAAATACCTGTATCATGTGTAAGTCCCCAAACTTTTAACATGTGTATGAGGTCCTCAGTCTCTATAAATACCTGTATCATGTGTAAGTCCCCAAACTTTTAACATGTGTATGAGGTCCTCAGTCTCTATAAATACCTGTATCATGTGTAAGTCCCCAAACTTTTAACATGTGTATGAGGTCCTCAGTCTCTATAAATACCTGTATCATGTGTAAGTCCCCAAACTTTTAACATGTGTATGAGGTCCTCAGTCTCTATAAATACCTGTATCATGTGTAAGTCCCCAAACTTTTAACATGTGTATGAGGTCCTCAGTCTCTATAAATACCTGTATCATGTGTAAGTCCCCAAACTTTTAACATGTGTATGAGGTCCTCAGTCTCTATAAATACCTGTATCATGTGTAAGTCCCCAAACTTTTAACATGTGTATGAGGTCCTCAGTCTCTATAAATACCTGTATCATGTGTAAGTCCCCAAACTTTTAACATGTGTATGAGGTCCTCAGTCTCTATAAATACCTGTATCATGTGTAAGTCCCCAAACTTTTAACATGTGTATGAGGTCCTCAGTCTCTATAAATACCTGTATCATGTGTAAGTCCCCAAACTTTTAACATGTGTATGAGGTCCTCAGTCTCTATAAATACCTGTATCATGTGTAAGTCCCCAAACTTTTAACATGTGTATGAGGTCCTCAGTCTCTATAAATACCTGTATCATGTGTAAGTCCCCAAACTTTTAACATGTGTATGAGGTCCTCAGTCTCTATAAATACCTGTATCATGTGTAAGTCCCCAAACTTTTAACATGTGTATGAGGTCCTCAGTCTCTATAAATACCTGTATCATGTGTAAGTCCCCAAACTTTTAACATGTGTATGAGGTCCTCAGTCTCTATAAATACCTGTATCATGTGTAAGTCCCCAAACTTTTAACATGTGTATGAGGTCCTCAGTCTCTATAAATACCTGTATCATGTGTAAGTCCCCAAACTTTTAACATGTGTATGAGGTCCTCAGTCTCTATAAATACCTGTATCATGTGTAAGTCCCCAAACTTTTAACATGTGTATGAGGTCCTCAGTCTCTATAAATACCTGTATCATGTGTAAGTCCCCAAACTTTTAACATGTGTATGAGGTCCTCAGTCTCTATAAATACCTGTATCATGTGTAAGTCCCCAAACTTTTAACATGTGTATGAGGTCCTCAGTCTCTATAAATACCTGTATCATGTGTAAGTCCCCAAACTTTTAACATGTGTATGAGGTCCTCAGTCTCTATAAATACCTGTATCATGTGTAAGTCCCCAAACTTTTAACATGTGTATAAGGTCCTCAGTCTCTATAAATACCTGTATCATGTGTAAGTCCCCAAACTTTTAACATGTGTATAAGGTCCTCAGTTTCTTTAATCATGTTCTCCCCAAACTTTTATGTAAGTCCCTAAACATTAGGTTTGTGTATAAGGTCTCAGTTTCTATAAATATATGTATAAAGTCTTCAGTTTCTTTTATTAGCTTTACCATGTATAAGTCCCTAAAACTTTTATCGTGTGTCTGAGATCCTCAATTTCTTTTTATATCTTGATTTTACGAAGTACCTTAAGTTTTACCATGTGTGTAAGGTCCTCATTTTCTTAATTTTCAAACTGTGCAAAGTCCCCCCAAACTTTTAACATGTGTATACCTCAACTGTATGTACAAGGGTCTTCTATTACTCTTTTCTTGTTTCAGTTGGTACATGTTGTTTAATGTCTTTGCAAATTTTGTTTTACCTATATTTGGCAAGTACGGACATGGAGAAGTGTAGGGATCTTTTTCGTTGCAAACACCAAATTTTTTGTCCTATATTTGGCAAGTTTAATGTGACATGGAGAAGTTTTAGCGACATGGGACCTCGGTTTAAACAGTCTCACCCGAAGGATCGGTATCCACGTCCCACAGTTGTATTCGAACCTGTGACGTAAGGATCAATTAACCCCAATTAATTGCAAATCTAGAGCAGACGCTCTAACCACTGCGCCATGCGGGCGAGACACCTTTGTCTTGTGTAAGTCCTAGCTTAAATTATACCATAATGAATATAATCCTTTTAAATAATGAAAACATAATGTAATGCGACATTAGTTAATAAAAGTGTCCTTTTATAACATGCATACATGTATTTCTTATCAAATAAGTTCAAGAGCTCTTGTATTTTAAAGGCTGATACAGAGCAGTATCGGTAACAGCTACAGTAACTTTATTTCCGACGCTCAATAATAAACAGGCACACTCAATAATAAACAGGCACATATCATAGGGTTGGGGGGTTGGCCACCCCCTTTTTTTCCAGACATTTTTTTAACTATATAAATTGTTTATTGAAAGCCCCCCTCCACCACACACTTTTGGAATAGGATTATATATTTAGACAATTTTCTTTTCTTCTGTTTTTTTTATCAAGTTTTATCGGGGAAGTTGAATTTTTAAAAATTATTTCTGGGGCTGAACTCCCCTTTTTTTCAACATAGATGCCCCCTTCCCTTTCTGCTTGTCAAGGAATATTTGTTTGGTATTGCCCCCTCCGTGAAAATATTTGTGCAGCCCCCATCCCCCCCCCCAAACGAACACACACTAAAATTGCTTCCTACCAGTCAGATTGTGGTTCTCATAATGGCTTAGCAAAGTAAAAAAAGGGAAATTTTAGCTCACCTTTACGATGAGAGCTTGTATATCGTCGGCGTCATACAGGTTAAAGATTAAGGGTCCATAATTTAATATTTTTTTCATTTTAATATTTATTTAATAATTATAGCAACGTTAACGAGAAATTTTAAAAGCTACATACATGTATTTGTTTACAGTTTTACTATTTCAGCACGATACTTTGAGAGAGGACTTGTAATACTTTGTGTATTATTTTAAAAGACATCATCGGGAATAATTGTCCTTTTTGTCCATGTGTCACTAAAATCACAAACACAAAAAAGGTCTGAAATGCTCTAAGTATTTTTTGTTTTTCACTTAAACTCACAATATTTATCGTGAGATTTTGGGCTATAATATTCTAATTTTAAATTTTGCTCCAGATTGCAAAACGTAATAAATTACTTTTCTGTATAATCTATCTAAAAATGGATAAGGATACAATGTTTATAAGGATAAGGATATAAAGTTTATAAGGATAAGGATGTAAGGTTTATAAGGATAAGGTTTATAATTAAAGAGTTATGTTATATGAATAAAATATATATTGTATTATGTAGGTCTGGCCACAATCGCCAAATCAAAAATAAATGATTTTAAGAAGTTATATTTGTCTTCATCGTCTTTAATAATTAATTACTTTTCTGTATAATCTATCTGAAAATGTGCAAATTTGAGCAGGCGATTTTAATTCAGAATAAAACTTGGATTGAGGATAGCAGTAGGTTATTGCTTTAATGCTAGAACGATCTTGTACCGCCTAGTGTGCATATTACCAAAAATAATATTGCTTATATTTTTGGTGAAGTGAATAGGTTAATTAATATACGAGAAATAATTATCAAAATCTTTTGGTTATTTTAAAGTTAAATCCATATTCAAAATGAATACGTCATCGAACAGGTTCGATGATTTGGTACATAATGGAAAACATTTTTACATTCTCTCTTTAATTTTGTTTAAAACGTACGATTTTTAGCCGGGCTTATTGCTTAAAGAGCAATTGCCGGCTTATGTGATCCTGTTCAAGGCAGGATGTTGACCCCGTAGTCGTCATTTTAAAGTTACGTGCAAAGATATAGTTCTTACTCTCAACCGCTTTCATGAGATAATACAAACGCTAAATAAAGCAACAAAAATAAAACGAAGTTTTATCTATAATATAAAATAAACATTAGTTGTAATGACTTTGAAAACTTCAGAAGTCAAAGAACATGTTCATTAGCGTGAGGATTTTTGATAATAAATGTTACCGTAGTTCTCTACACATACGAGGTAAAGCAGGAGAGGGAACCAGACTGGCCTGATTGATTACAATCATTCAGCCGCGGTACCAGATTAATTCTGATTCTGACAAAATCGGACCGTGGTATTAGGATTGAAAACTAACTGTCAGTGTCTTGTCATTTATACTGATGGTTTAAAATATTTTTTTTCATCAGAATATAAAAG